AGCCCCGGCCCCGGGCCACCGCCCGTCGCTCCCCGCCGCCGACCGGCCCCCGGCCCGCGCCCGCCACCCGCCACCGCGGGGGAGGAGGAAGAGGAGGAAGACGAGGAAGACGAGGAGGAGGAGGAGGAAGAAGGGGAGACCCGCGACCCGCCGCCCCCCCCGCACCACGAGTGGACCTACGAGGAGCAGTTCAAGCAGGTAGGAGGCATCCACCGCCACCGGCACACCGTCACCATCACCGGCTGCTCCAGGCTGGCACCCCCAGGGTCACCCCACCGCCCCCAAAGTCGGGCATCAGCCCTCCCTAAATGGACACTGCTTATGTCCCCCACTGACCCCAAACGCTGTCTGCATCCAACCCTAAATGGGGAACCCCACCACCCCAAGCCCCATCCCAGTCCCACGCCAAGCACACATTCCCAGTACTCCCATTATTGCCACGCCACCCTAAATGGGAGCTCCTAGTTGTCATCCCCCCCCCAACACTGGTCCCAAACCCAGGCAAGCACAGTCAGTGCAACTCAGCACCCCATCCTGCCCCAAATGGATACAATCTGAATGCCCCTCAGTGCCCTTGTCCCTGAACCCTGTCACATCCCAACAGGCATCCTCACGTACTCCCCTTCTCCCTGCCACCATCCAACTCCTGCCTCATGTCCCCCACCTCCCCCATGTCCCTGGGCCCCACAGCATGACAGGGTGCCCAATGCCCGGGCACCTCCCTGTGCCTGTCCTCACCCATGTGGACTGCATCCCTGGTGCTTTCTGTGGTGGGCAAAGTGGGGTGATCCCTTTCCACGGGGATGGACAAGGGTGAGGGATCCAGTGCATGGTCACCCCAAGGAGCCAGTGGGCCACGGAGCCGAGCTCCCCTGTGTCTCTGCGAGGGCTGGGGTGTATTATGGCTGGTCAATGTGGCTCATTGGTTTCCTATGTTGGCTGGAGGGAGCAGCTCGTCGATCCTGTCACCTCATTCCTGGTGGGCATGTGGGGAGACCCCTGTGCCAGGGAGATCTGGCGCAGGGGCAGAGCTCCTGGAGCTCGTATACAGGGTGGAGGAAAGGCTTTTCTGCATTTAAGATGTATGGTTCCCGTCTGTGCTGGGTTGTGCATGCCCTGGGTCCCGCTCCGTGCACGGAGTGTGAGTGTGTGTGGAAATACACAGCATCAGGTCAGGTCTGCGCTCCCTGTGTGCTCAGCTTCATTGTGGGGGGAGAGAGGGGTGACACTGGTGGCAGGCTGGGTGACAGGCAGTATGCGGTGAGGAGACAGAGCGGGCAGAGATGTCCCCTGTACAGCTGGTGCGTGGTTTTTAGGGGTGGCACTGCTCAGGAGACAGTGCAACGAGGGGACTTGCTGGCTCATCCACAGTGGCTCTGGCAGGAGGGGATGGGGACAGCAGCAGGGACTTTACTTTTAGGTGCCGTGAGGCCACACTGCTGCTTTTTCTGTGTGGAGATCACACAACGTGGTGTTATTTGGGGGTGGGGGGGTGCTAGGGTTCATCCCCCCTAGATGCCTGCCTGTGAGGTGGCAGGTATGGGTGCAGGCAGGGTGCAGGCAGCGTGTGCTCCGTGGCGGTGCCCAGGGAGGCTGCCAGCTCTGGCTGCTGCCTCGAAAGCAACCCCCGGGATGGCCGGGGTGTGTGTGAGCTGCATAGGCCGAATATCTCGTCCGGGAAGTGTTACGTTACACCCTGCTGCGCAGAAAAAAGGCTGACTGTCCGGTTCCTGGGGTCAGCCGGGAGGTGGGAAACGGCTCCTCCCTCCCAGGCCTGGGGAGGCTTTACGCAGAGAAAGCATCCCCGGCATTTTCTCGTCCTTCAGCCTCACGCCCTGCCCCTGGATGGGGCTCCCCGTGGGCAGCAGGAGCAGAGCCAGCAGCCCGGAGTGAATACCGGGTGGTGGGTGGCAGGGGTGGTCGGTGTGAGGGGGGATAAATCCTGCCACTGCCTCCCAGGGTGAGAGCTGGCTCCTTCCTTCCTTGTTCTCTTTTTTTTGTTTTCTCCAACCCCGATTGGAAAGGTGATGCTCCAGAGACCCACACGTGGATTTCCTGCCCAGTGACATGTCCCAGACAGCCCAGGGTACAGTGGAACGTCCCTTATGTTCATTGCCCCCTGGGAGCACAGAGACAAGGAGACTGTTTTCCTTTGGGTGGCTTATATGGGATGAGACAGGGAGAGGGGAAAGGAGTTACTGGGACCAGACCTGCTCTGGGTGGTGCTGTCCTGTTTGGGGTGACAATTTGGGGCAGGCTGCCGTGCTGCCTTGCCCCGGGGTCTGCAGGGTGGCTGTCACCCCTGTCCCTGCCCTCTGATCACCCAGGAGGGGATGTGCCCCTGCCTGGGAGGGGACACACGCCTGTCTGGGAGGGACGTGTCACCCCCCACACACCTCACCCCCCCAGGGCCATCCCCAAGCTGCAGGGCTGTGGCTCACCCAGCCTGGGGAACAGGTTCTCCGCTCTCGGCAGGGGCTGAATGGGGAGGGTGGTGGTGGTGATCAGGCTTTCGGAGGTTTCTCAGGGGCTGGGCTGTGATGCTGTGAAGGACACGAAGGACAGCATGAGCCTGCTCACAAGGTGCCCGGGCACTGGCAGTGTGGTGGGCATGGGGGGTCCTGGAGCCGGGGAGAGACCCCATGGTGGCTGGGACTGTCTTTCCCACTGCAACCCCCTGCTTGAAGCTGCCCCATACCAGCATGCTGCTGCTGGCATCACCTAGGACAGGTCTGAGGGTCTGTCCTTGCTGTCATCCTCCTGGGTGGGGAGAACAGCTCAGTGAACAGGGAAGACCAAATCCAGGCTGGTTTGTGGAGGGTGGGTGGGGAGCCATTTCCCCGGCTCTCTGAAACGAGGAGATGGCGCTGATGGGGATGAGGTAGGAGGGGGATGCAGGACCAGCTGTAGGGGGGCGTTTCATGCAGCACCATGGTGCTAAAAATGGGAGCAGAGGATGAGGTTGCGGTGGAGAAACCCATTGAGGGTTAATGAGGCAAAAGCAGCTTTGCCCAAGGGAGAGTTTCCTGTGTGTTTGCCCTGGTTTTATACATTTTCCAAGGCGCCAGTTTGAGTGGGGGGGGGTGTCTGGTGGGACCTTTGCTCTGATGTGGGAGGGCCACTCTGATGTTATGGGGTTGTGAGACCCCCTCACCCCCACCTCTTGCATCAGCCCCCGGCGCCAGTCTATGTACACTTGATAAGGACACATGGGTAGAGACCTGGGCAAAGGTCTGGGAGATCTCCAGCATCCAGCACTGTGAGGCAGCCCCAGCCCCAGGGTGGGGGGCGACGAGCAGCGTCTGGCCATGAGCCACTCTCCTTTCCTGGGGACAGGGATGCCACCAAGTTGTGATGCTGTGGTGCTGCATCACTGGATTTCATAGAATCATAGAATCGTCTAGGTTGGAAGAGACCCTTGGGATCATCGAGTCCAACCATCTACCCTACTCTACAAAGTCATCCCCTACACCATGTCCCTTAGCACTGCATCTAAACGGCCCTTAAACACATCCAGGGATGGTGACTCCACCACCTCCCTGGGCAGCCTGTTCCAATGCCCTATCACTCTTTCGGTGAAAAATTCTTTCCTAATGTTCAGTAATTGACTTGGAGGGCGCTGGGAAGAGCCTGGAATTGCTGGTGCCAGCTCAGCCCCATGAATTCAGCTTTTGCCCCTGGGGAGCCACGCATAGAGACAGGCGCTCTGGTTTCCTCCAAGCAATGGAAGATCAATGCCAGGGCTTCCCTCTCCATCTTCTGGCTCTGTCTGGAGGCAGCACCATGGGAAGACCCCCGGCAGGAGGGACTCAGATGTCTGGGTTTTGTGCCCAGTTCTCCAGCAGTGGAGTGTTTGCTGGCAGGAGGATGCCCTCCCTGACAGGAGCCCAGCAGCGTATTCAGAGCTGTCCAGTTGTGGATGGGGGGAACAGGACCTCCCAAAGCTCCTTCCTCCCTGCACGGGGACAGCTGGGGGGGGGGTGTCAGTACTGGACAGCCCTTTGGGGACTCTCAGGTGTCTGGTAGCCTCAGCAGATGATTTGGGGATGGCTTGCTTTGCCAGCAGCTGTGTGCTGTCATCCACAGCCATTCCTCCTCCTACCATGGTGCTGCTCCTGCCACATCTGTCCCTGCTGCCGGTAGTCACCTCTTGCACCCACCTACCCTTTCCGTGCATTTTCGGGGGGCTCACTGGCCATGAATGGATGTGCTCACATCTCAAAAGCCTGGAGGAAAAGTGCTACGAGTCAGCTGCAACTCTCCCTACTATGGACATCCTGGTCCATCAGTTCCCCTTCCCGTGCCTCAGGGTGATCCCAAAATGGGGTGGCAGGTGCCTCTGTCCCCATTGCTTTCACCTGCAGGCTTGGGGAGAAAGATTGGGGGCTCAGGAGGGGGATCCTGGGGAGAAGGAGGTGGCCTCCCTGCCCCAGCCCTTGCCTCCAGCACATCTTCAACCCAGGTGCAGCAATAACAACCGCAGGGCTCCCGGGGATAAATTAGAGGGTCTCTGGTTACACTGCAGTGGGGGAGGACATAGATGTACATGGTGTTTGCTCCTGGCCCCGGCTGCCTGGAGGCTTCTCCATGGTAAACCTGTGGGCAGAGCTGTGCCTTGGGGCCAGGACCACCTGAGTCCAGGAGGTGGCAAGGGTCAGCACGTTAGTCCCGGGTGGCAGCAGCTCTGGCAGCTCTGGCATAAGTGGGGGGGGCACAGAGCAGGAGTGGGGGACTGCTGAGGGACAGCTGGGAGTGCATGTGGAGGTGTTCTGCAGGTATATGTACACATGGACCAGCATGAGTTTATGGATCCATATAAATGTCCATATAAGTGTAGGGGTACGCCCTTGGGAATCTGAACCCATGTGTATATGGGGAGTACGAGTGCCCACGTGTGTAGGGATCCCTGGGACACCCTACATGTGTGTAAGGACCCATGTAAGAGGCCAAACGTGTATGAACCTGAGGGGCTGGTATGTGTTTATGGACCTATATGAGTGCCCAGGTGTGTATGGACCCATATGTGTGTGTGTGTAGGGTTGTGTATGGCACCGTGTGTGTGCCCACATGCATTATAGTGTGCCCACGCGTGTCTGAACACACCCATGTGTATCTATAGGGACATGTGCAGTGTCTCCAGGTACAGAGCCATATGGACCCATGGGTGTTGGGACAGGGTTTGGGGGCTGAGTGCTGAG